TAAATCAAAAATCGGACTCAAAAATCAATACAGGATATAAATCATAGGGGGGTATACTAGTCAGCAGTTTACGGTAACTCGATTAACATTTCTACCAGGACTTGGTAATCCATGTGTTTCAGCATAATTTTCGAGAAAATTCTTCACGGCAGTAGCAACGGTTATATCAATACTTATTTTGGTTTTCCATCGCGGCACTCGTTTAATATTACCATGAATACGCGGTATTATACCATTCGTTGCTAGGTGATTTCTGACGTTTTCCAAATAAGTGCGGTCAGTTCCTACCATATTGAGATACGTTCTCTGACAGAGAGGCGTTTTGCGATCTCAATAATAAAAAGTTCTTCTATTAGTACGCGTTTTCTTTTTAAGACGTCGGCTGGCAGTTATTTCTTCCCTATTCATTGCTTTCAGCTGGGCCATTAAAAATATATCTTGTTCAGATCTAGAGAGAGCTTGAAATGCTTCACGTAATTCGGCAAATTTTTCTCTTGGAATCTTTTTTGAACAACCATAATTGCAACCTACCTCTAAAAAACGTATTGCTTTTTCGTATTTATATTCGGTCGAACCACTGTATTCATTATTTTGCATATACAGGTATTTATATATATATAGTTTTATTACTTACAATGATAAGTCAATATCAAGGCATTAGGTTTGACAATTGGTTGGTGTAGATTTAGACTATTTATTTATCGTTTCTGTTGACAGTCAAACCGCATTTAGATATATACTAACATTACATCAACGTAAAACTAAATATATCATGCTCTGGAGTGATAACCTTATCAGATATTGCATCAGGATGTCTTTTGACACTTTCGATGTTCAAGAAGGAAGGGTAAAAGACTTTGCCAGCCTCACCCGCCCAATCGAAGTCAACTAGCACTACATTTACAGATTCATCTGTTGCTTGATAGAGAATATTGGCTTTTCTCAAATCTCCATGCACAAACCCAGCATGGTGCATCTCCTCAATGAACTTTTTAATCTTCTCTTTCCACTCACCTCTTGCATGAAACACACTAAACAAGTTGTCATAGTCCTCCGAATATTCCATTATTACCACTTTCCATCGCTCAGAGAGCTTGTAACACTCAAATAGTTTAGGGGCAAACCCACGATCAGCACAGAATTTGTGCACCGCTTCCCCATATGATTCTGTGAACTTAACACGTAACCTCCGAGGAATGTCTGAATTCTGTTTGGTTTCCACCACAAACAGTAACTTATCCTCATACAGCTGCTCTATATACTCGAACTCCACCTGTTTGTGTTGATAATTAAATGCTTGATAATAGGGCCACAGTGATTGTGGACCTGTCTCAGGCGAATTGTAATATTCGTGAAGCATTTTATAGGCTGATTCAAGAGCAGTAAACACTCGCGCAATTTTCATCATTTGTTCTCTGTCATATCGAAGCAACATCAATGGGATAGGTCCGATTAGAGGGTCGGTCAATATTTTATCTTGGCCATAAATGACCCCTGCAACTCCGAGAAATGGGCCTGATACAAGAAACAGTTAGAAATTTAAATATAAATAGTTATCATACAAACTGTTGGTCTTACCTGCCAAGTACAAAATAAAACAAGGCAAACGTGTACGTTGTTCTTTCCTTGTCTCTAGATACTGAGCTACTTTCTTCTCGTAATATACAATACCCTGAATATACGGACAGCCATTTTCTTTCCCAAATTCAGGCTTCACTTCAACGTTGATATTGATAACAAAAAAGCATCCGTTTCCAGCCAAGGCGGTACCATCCGTTGTGCACTTATCGATATCAATTCTGTTGACTGTCATATTAAACTTTTCTAGCATACGGTGAAACTCGCCTGTTCGTAAATCTTCATTACTGAACGCATCAGACATGCTTTCAGTAAGTTCTAAAACATGGTCGTAGGTTTCCTGTGTGGGAACAGCGGTTCCACAAACTTCTCAAATACTGGATGATAGATTGAAACAGGATTTCCAGACGCAGAAACCGGGCAGTGATTTAAGTAGAAATGATCTTCTCTAATTCGTTTAAAGTATCTGCTCAATCTACAAAAATACTCATCATCTATGATTTTACGTTTGGTCCCTGAGAATAATCATGACTTGATTAATATTTATAATAATGAATTTGCTCACAGAATGAAATAGATGTCGCAAGTTATCATAACTCTGATCTATGTACTCTACCCTATGTACACTCTCCTGCAAAGATTTAGGACCACCTATTACTATGCCGATCAATTAGTAAACATATGGGAAAATCTATCTTTTCAAAAATCTGTATTGGCGTTATTTACTAAGTAAACGACAAAAATTTTTATATCATTATGAAGCTACTTAACTGTAGTTTTTGAACAAAATACTGATAAATTCACGCAGCTTATCATAACGAAGCTGTAATCTGCTGAAGCGGTAAAATATATGTTATACATACTAATACATTTAATATGATTTACACATGTGTAACCTATATACTAACACTTTGGCTCCATTACAAAAACTAGCTCAAATTTATGGGCATTTTGTTCAAAAACTACAGTTAAGTAGCTTCATAATGATATAAAATTTTTGTCGTTTACTTAGTAAATAACGCCAATACAGATTTTTGAAAAGATAGATTTTGCAAATTGATAGGTGGTCCTAAATTTTTGGCAGGGGAGTGTAGACACTACTCTGTCCCCAACGCGTCCCAAAGTCGTTACCTGTCTGAGCATCCTTTTCCCTCTTCAGCACCTCCTCATTCCACTTAGCCCAGACCTCTGTACACAGGTTCACGCGCTTCTTCAGCTCTGTCTCCTCGTCCGCCAGCCTCGACAGCGCAGCCTGCTCCTTTGTGTTGAGGTCCTCCTGCAGCTCCTTGTCTCTCAACTCGTCTAGTTTCCCTCCTCGGTCTTTCGACTCCTGGAAACTCTTCAACGCTGCGTTCGCATTGTCCAGTTCGTCTTTCGCTTCTTTCAGTTGCTGTTTGTAGTACTCAAGCGTAGCCATGGTAGAGCGGTAAAATTTTTCGTGTGTTGTTTCGTGAATTGCGTGGAAGTTGTGCGCAATGCGATGACGTATTATTGGGAACGTTCTAGACCTTTTCATAATGTAGCTGTTACCTGTATTAGTATGCAGAATATGACCAATGATAATCAATGCGCAAAATCATCCGCAGCTTATGATGAACAAACGGATATTTTATTATAAAAACAGCTTACTTCAGAAATCAATCACAACGCAATAAATATCAATATCGTTTAATATTAAAGTAATAAAACAAATCTGTCGACTTTTACCAATAATATCTACAAAAATGTTTACGAGTTTCTTTTGGAGTATTTATTGGCTTCGTTCTCGGTCTGTTGCTAAATGGCATAATTTATAATAGCCAACTCTATAACAATGGGCTACTGACCAATACGATGAAGTCTAAAAATTATCAAAAACGAAACCACCAGCCAACAAGATTTACTCGACAGAAAATTAAACATTGTGGAACGCTTTAAAACGATTATACGATAAGAGGACCGAGTTGAATCCAAAATTTTTATTTAACAAAATGTCGTTTGGAATTAATAATTTGCTCGACAAACAAAAGACCATTGCCGCATCAACAATAACAAATTTTTATCTTCGACAAACAACTCCACGGAAAAAAACAATTCATATACTTTATTTTTATATAGAGATAATCCTATATATATTAATTCTGGTATGGTTTATATTTATCCCATTCTGGTATCATAAAGGAAACATTAAAATTAACAAGTCCGTAAGGTATTATTTTATTATTATAAAAAAACACCATTATTATTTTCAAAATGTTATTAGTCAATTAGTTACAGTGTGTAACGAAAAAAACCGCTATCATAAAATATACCATAACTCAATGACCATGCAAAATTTTTAAACAATTC